TACCTTCTTAGCAACAACAAGAAAAAGGTGTGATAATTGTGAAATGTTTAATTTTTGTCTAACGTTTTAATTTCAGTTTTATTTGTTTGTTTATCCCATGACCTAGTTGTTATTTTCATATTAGTCGACAAACAAAATATAAATTTTCCTTTCTTCTAATGTAAAATTGGTTTGACTTTAGTTGGGACAAAAATTAATTTGAAAAATGTATTTGCAAAAAAAAAAAAATGCTGTATTTGACGTAGGGAAAAAGTGTGATGTCATTGACATATTGTGATAAGGACAACAAAAGAAAAAGAGATAAATTAGCAAGTTGGCAATAATAAAAGAAAGTGATTTGGAAAATAATAAGGTAATACTGATAATTAAAGGATTGTGGCGCACGTTAACGATTGTGAGGTGTAAAGTAAGTTAGCATTAAGAAATGTGAAGGCGCACGATAGAAGAAAAGGTATGAGAGATTGAGTCAATGAGTGGACAGAGAGACGAACGTGCGGTGGTGGGGAAGCCAGGGAGTTGACTTAATAGTGAATTAATGATTATTTTTAGTTGTAATTTATTTTGTCATTATTAATTACGACAAAATGTTATTATTATAAAATTTGTCTTTGCACTCAATCACGGATCATAGATAAAAAAGCTGCCACCATCCTTTTATTGTCTTTTTATTTTTATAAAAAAAATATTTGTGGGTGATTAACCATAAGCTTTAACTTAGAGTTCATCATTTTGAAATCTGAATTTAACTAAATATTTTTGTTGTGAAATAGTATTTTTAGACACTAGTATTAGAATCATCTATATTTTAATTCAGTATGAGATATTTAAATATGCTTTTCTGAAATGATGAAATTTTTTTGGTTCATTCAGATCGATTATATGATATTCCTTCTGTTTCAAATTGTAAGTTGTTTTACTTAAAAGCACACATATTAATAAACTATTTTTCTACTAAAAAATATTATTTAATATATCTAATAAAAATAATTTGACCAATCACATAAAAGACTGCAAAATATTAGTGATTACACAATATTCAATAGAGTTAAAAAATGTCTAGTATACATTTTGAAACAAAAAAAAATAGTTAAAACAACTTACATTTTGAAACGGAGGGAATAGTTTTCTTTATTGATTATATATGTTTGAGGTTGTTGGGTTTTAGTCCAATCGGATAATTTATACAGTTTAACAACGGTTTTGCTTTCTATTAAATTGGTTGACATTTTTTGTCAACAGGAAATCAAATTTAATCGGATATGTGTGGAATAAGGAGTTTAACTTCCATTATGTAAAAAAAAAAAACGTTTTCCATTATGTAGGAGACAAGGCGTTTAACTTTCATTTTGTGGGAAACTACTACGAAGATAGTTTTCGTTGTCAATTCTGAAGTTATATGAAATTTGAGGGGAGAACTACTATGTTTTCCCTTATTTTGATTTTTTGAAGTTAGATATATATTTTTGTTGTAAGATAGTATCTTTAGACATTAGTATTGGATCATCTAAATTTTCATTCAATATGAGATATTGGAATATGCTTTTTTTTAAGGATGAAATTTTTGGTTCATTC